ATATATATCTCAGAAAATTCTTAGATGGCTCATTAATTCCCTGATCTATTTCTGCATGCACTATTGATACTAAGGTGACCTTTCACAAATTAAGCTATGTATACAGCAGAGAGGTGTCCCTTCTTTCTACTGGGAAAATTTCAGTTTTAGAGAAAGCATTACTAACTGAAGAAATAATCTTTCAGCTTTCAAGTCTTAGACTCAATAAAGGATAAGGATAAGGCATTTATCCCATGAGTGAACACCCTGAAGCAGTTATATGTGGTTGGCTTAAAGGAGATCTAAGAATCTCTGTTTGGCACACTGGCCACTTTCCAAATGAGAACTCAATGACTCTGTATTCTGAGTAAAGAAAAGTCAGGTTGGTTTATGACTTATTCTACATATACTGTGGATCCAGCCAAGCTCTGAACTACGCACAGTTGAAGACAGTAAGAGCAACAAACTGTGTCCAGCGAGGCCTGCAGCAGCTTCACATTCTGGCAAGACTCCTTGCAGACAGTGGCTTGCTAGATTTTTGAATTCAGCCTGTAGCAAAACAAATATATGTAGGAAGGGAAGAAAACCATTGGGGGGGTTCTGTGCTGAGGATAGCCAGCTAATTAGATGCAGGCTGATTCTGTTTCTGGCAAAGAGACTTACCAAAACATGCAATGGGTAAAAGGTAATTCTGCCTGCATAATTAGCGCATATCTTTATTATTTCTGTCATATTCTGAACAAACTAAAATTCTATTTAACCACAAAAAGCAATGCCTACTTATTTAAATATTGGTGAAAAACGTCACAAATGAACAAAAAAATCCCAAAACTCAAAAAAAACCCCACCCCAAATAAGCTGGTATGGAGACTTTACACTATTTTGTATGTTATTGAAACAATCATATGGGAACAGACAAAAGGGGCCACATATTCTGATGGCTTGATCTTGATGTCAAAAAAACTCCCCAAGAAAACCAAAAAAAAAGAGGTTAACGAAAAGGTTAAATTATAAAAACAAAAGAGACAAAACAACCAGACATAGAAATTAGTCACATTTTTCCTAGCATTTAGTCACATTGTTTGCAGCAGTATGAAAAAAAATATTTACTTTTATTACTCAGGCTCTTAATAAAGACATGTTTAAGCAAACACACATATACACAAACAAAAAACCTAAGCCTTTACGTTCTTCACATTTTTTTTCTCTACCTCTATATTCAAGCTGTATTCTGATCTTTCATGTTGGGCTGATAGTCTTCGAGAACATACACCCTCATTTGTAATGTTTCTGGTGAACTCACACCAGTGTACTAAACCAGACTGTCCTTTTTTCAGCTCTATGTTTCTACGAACAAACAACAGCCTGTAGGGATTCACCACATCAGCTGCTTAAAAGATAAACCTACCCAGCTTGATGAAAACTCTTTGCCACCTTCCTGTTGAGAGAAAATGGTTACACATTTCTAATAAATGAAGCAGGAACTGTCATTTTTTTGGCAAAAACTGATAACTAGCTGTAACAGCCGCATTGCCACAAGTTGCTTTTCCAAAGTAATTACCATCAGGCTCCCTGTGGTATGCAGTGTTTAACACATTTCTTCTGTGCTAATGAATGCAAAAGCAGGCAACACCACTATTAGTAATTGTTTTTTATTCGTAGTCCTCATTTTCCAGATAGGTCACATTAAACACAGCCATTAAACAATAGTGGTTGAGATAATCCATACAATGTATGATGCTTTTGTTTGGGTTTTTTTGTGTCATTCATCGGTCATTGGTGCAACTTTGAGCCATATGGGGATTCAGGGGCTGATAAATGAGAATGCCAACTTGTATCACAATTGGGCCAGAGAAGGCAAAACCTGAATCAGGTTTCATTCAATTACACTTCAAATCAACAAATCTTGATAGCCAAAACTCCCATTTAAATTAATACAATAACTGTCTGACATCAAAAGAAAGTAATTAGACAATAATGAGTGGTCATATACTATCCTGGGCTTCAGACTCCTTCTTGACCTCCCTTCCATTGGACAGCAAGCTGATTGAAAGTTTGTTTGAATGATGTATCTTGCTCCAGTATGAACAGTGTTTGACTTCTAGGTGTAATTTGAACTGGGGAACCTATATTCTCAAGTGGCAAATCGCATTTAAGGATAATCTCTTTCTTGATAAATATGCTAAGGAAAAAAAAGACAACCCAGCAACAAAAAACAGAACAAAACAACAAACCAACCAACCAACCAAACAAAACCCACACAGAAAAAATAGCCTGATTTGGAGTCCTGATTTGATTGAGCAGTTGTTACAGGAGCTCCCAGTTTCCCAGTTGCTGACTTTCATTAATAATAGAAAAACAGAATACCTTATTTGCTATTCAGTGTACAGCACAATTTTATAAGTTACTTGCCTCCTATAACTCTGCCATTATCTTTATAATCATGTGGCAGATACTTTCTTTTAGTCTTATAAAACATGTATGTAAGGAATGAGAGCAACAGCTCATAAACTTGATCTTTCATTTCTGCCTCTCTCCAGTGGTGAGAGACACCATGGAGAAAACATACTTTCTTAATTCTTTTGTGTGTATTCCTTCCTGCACACACACAATCGTGTTAATTTAGACTGAACCAGCAAAACTCACATTGCATAAGCTCTGCTGTTTATTGGTTTGTTACACATCCATTCTAAATAATGAAAAAGATTTCTTAATGTGGGATATCCTCATTGGAAGAAGTATGCCAGAGATCTACAGCACAAGGCAGTTGTCAGCCAAATTATATAAAAGCAAGATTTCCTAAACTCTTCTATAAAGCTGCAAGTCATGAATTCTGAATTACCTTAGAGTGGTAAATAAATAATCACTACTAAATACAGATAATGTGTTAAACAGCTAAAGCTAGTAAATCACTAGTGACAGAGAGCCTTAAGGTAAATTCCTCTTACATTGGCGCAGCCCTTTCTCAGAATATTGTGTGGTTATGTCTTCAGAAACATACAATGAATTGTACAATTGGTTACTCAGTGTTAAAATCATTTATAAAATACACAAATCTCCATCACTTGACTGCATTTACATACTGGCTTAGATTTTGCTGAATTAATGGATTTCACTGGCAGAGATAAAGACTTGGTGTACAGACACAGAAGTGATGGGCACCACAGAAATACATATAAGAGACTAATAAACAATAAAAAAATCCTCTCTATTATGGAATTTCAAGCTGTCAAGCTATCGAGAGAAACCAATCTGTTGTCTCCTGGACAAAAAAAAAAAAAAAAAAAGAAAAAAATATATAACACAGACAACACTACATTTTAGATACATAAATTGTCCAAAACATGGAGAGTAGCTTGATAAAACATGTACAATATCCTTTTCTTCTTTTTTTTTCACATGTAATTGTAGCCTTTTTTTTTAACAGGAGGAGCTAATAGCAAAGTGTCAGAATGGTTGTCTCCCAAAGACAATTCATTGTAGGACTGACTAGCTAAAATCACCATTTAACAGCAATCCCAACATCAAAACAGGATGTTGGGTCAACTTTCTTTCTTGAAGTGATAAAAGCTATGGCTTTGTGGTATTTGAGGTTGCCAACATCTTATATATGATTGTAAAGTAATATTACATTTAATAAACCAAATACACCACTTTAAAGCCATGCACCAGAGTGGTATTTCTAACAGAGTATCTGATGTATATAAAGCACAAATCCTGAGATAAAAATTATATTCTTCTGTTGCTTCTTGTTCTGTGCAAGTTCATTTTAAATGTGGGTTATTTTTTAACTTTCATCTGAAGGCAATTTTGAATTTTTCAAACCCTAAAAATACCCTTAAAAAACAATAATAAAAAGTAGAAACTGCATCCCAAGTTATTCTGCAAATACTTTTCAGGATGAATGAAAACCATTCAATGAAAACAAAAAACCCACCCTTCCTCCCTTCTCCCCCCCCAGAAAAATAAGCAGTGTATATCTAGAACTGCAGTAAGAAATTGCACACTCCAAAGAAACAGATAAAATCCTACTCATGGCACATTGGCATTACTGCTTTTCATCTCTCGGACCTTAATATCAAAACTTTGAAAATGGTGGCGTCTCTTAGGAAGTCAATAAAATATACTTCTTTAAAGATGCTGACTGCATGTGTTTAGAAACAAAACAAAACAAAACAAGGAAGTTCCAGATGTTGGTTCAAGTGTAATTTTTGTTATTAAACATGGGTTTGCAACAGAAGCTTCTACAAGGACTTGCACATAACAATGACTGATGGATGTATTTGTAGGCCGTTCAGCTAGCTCCATCAGCTCACTCAAACACATTTTGAACAGATTATGTACTGCAGTACTTCGTAGACCATACATTAAACAAGAGACTTTGCTCTGAGGCGCTGCTTCCCACAATCCATGGGGAAAAGGAAGCAGGAAAAAACAAAACTCATAGAGTTCGACAGCTACTGAGGCAACACTTGCCATTTACAATATAAGCCCAAATATTTTTGCAACACAACTATATATTAATTTAATAAAATACACAATATAGCTCTTATACACTCAACAATTTGGCTCATATGCACTGAATCTGCAATAAATCAATAAAAATATGTCATTTGATGTAAACACATTGATTCTTCTTACATTTGCACATTTAAATGATCATGTGACTTTTGTGGTTGTCTAAGACATTTTCACTTTCCTGAGCTATTTTAGTGTCCACAAATGAATAAACAAGTGTTAATAATGTTAATTTATTTTGTGTATTACCCTTAAACACAAGTTGGGGTTTTTTCAAACTTTATTTTACTTTAGTTTTTTTAAAATTTACTGCTAGCTATTGATAGTTTTGTGGGACACTAAAACGCTAAATAGATACTAATTTTTAATTTTTTTTTCTCTTTTATCAAGTGAATTAGCGTATGTGTGTGCAGGACAAGATGGACTATATCATTTTACATTTTACCTTAATATGATATGATGTGCTTTACTAATGATCAGGATATGTTCTGTTGAAGAATGGTTTTTTTGTTTTCTTGTTCTTTTTTTCTTTTTTTTTCTTTTTTTTTTTTTCTTTTTTTTGTATAGATTTGTGGCAGGTAACTTTGTACATAAATGTTTACCACAAATGAATGTTAATGTTTGGTGTCACTTGGACTACTACAAGAACTCATTTTAGGACTTTCAGTAGAAGTCTGCGGTGACTGCTGGAAATCCACCACAGATCAGAATTATTCAACCCTGTTTTTCTTGGGGTTTATACGTAAACAGTAAAATCAGCATCAGCTATTGAGGACAGTCTTATAATATTAGACTTATTTCCATTCCATCTTTCTCATACCTTCCTATCAGATTGTCAAAATGGCACCGTCTTTCCTTCTTTCATTTTGTTCTTAGTGTACTTGACTCTGTCCTAATCAAAGTTTGGACAAAATGAAACCAGCGTCATCTGTCAAAAAGAAAGAGCAGTGAAAAGAACATACTTGTGGGCACTTCAGATGTTCACTAAAAGCCTTAAAGCAGCATTGGTCTTCCTTCATTCCTGTAAATCTGTTACAACCAGGGGATTTACTTAATGATTTACTTTTAATCAGCAGAAGTGGAACACAACTGCCAGCCTGTCCTTATTTTTCCCCTCACTTTCTGACAGCCACAGGGTCGCTTCCCCGACAGTCCTGCAAGAGCTTGTCGATTTCTCTCACAACTTCCTCGGCATCCACCGACTCTCTGCCTAGATCCCGGGCTGAACGATCTAACTGCTCCAGAACAGAGTCCATCTCACTCGAGTCTCGGCTCACTCGGGAATGCACATCTGCAAAGGCCCTAGCCATCTGATCTGATGCAATGAAGGGAGTGTCTTTTGACTGTTTACTAGGTGAAAGATACTGACTGTCAGTTGACAAGTACTGGCTGCTTGGTTCAGCCAAGGCTCCTGATTTCACTTCACTACCATCCAGTGGTCCTTTTGTTGAGGTGCAAGGCTCAATACATGTCTTGTTTGGGCTGCTCGATGCTGAGGGAACCTCCTGAAGCAGAGGACTCAGGGCACGTTTGGCTTTTAAGTAAGGTTTAACATTGGCAATGAGAATAGTGTGCTCTCTCTTGTCTTTCCCAAAGGTACAAAAAGTCTTCTTCCCGGTGGGATTCACAGTTTCGTATGTCTCAGTCTCAACATTAGCTTCAACTGTGGGTACAAAGAGATTTGTGCGATAATCTGCATTCTCAGCCTGACTAGCTGCAGGGAACTGTGGCATCCAACACCTGTCAGAATGACCAAGCACTCTGCATTCATCTGTGCAGTTAACACATTCTTCTTGCTCTGTAAAAGAAAGAAGAAAGAGAAAAAAAATCTAATTATAAGTGGAATTTTTTAAACTAATGGATAGGCTATGATCAACATGTTAGGGGCTTACTTGACATCTGTTTTTTTAATTATGGTGAAAAAAGAAGATATAATTAAAATATTTCAGATTGTATAAACCTGCTAGTTAAGACAATAGATTTATTTAACTCTGTTCTCTATGTATTAAAGTATTCACACAGCTCAGTGGAAGTATAAAAGGGTCATTAGAGAATCATTCTCAGTGGAACTGAGCTTCATCTGTAAACTAATCTGCTGTAGAAATCTGTTAGACTTTGTTCTGTGAAACTCATCCTAGAAACAAATGAACAGCACTTAAGAAACTCAAAAGGCATTATCAGGATTAATTTTTCAAATCAAATAACTGAGCAATGACTGCTTTTCTGTAAAGACAAACACTTCCTAAAATCGGCAAGTTGGCTTTTCATTTTTGTCACCTCCATTTAGTTTATAATTGTTACATTGTGTGATAGTCACAAAATAAAAAGGTTTTCTTGAAAAGCATACTTTTCCTGCTAAGAACAGAGAACTAAAGTTTTCCATCAGTATGCATTAAGTATAAGCTTGTCAAAAAGTGCATATTGCAATTTTATTAGACATGCGAATGAATCATGTGATCAGTTTTCCCCTTTTTTGTTTTGCTGCAAGTGAAAATGGATTGCTCAATACATATGATTCAGAAGAATGAAAAACTATGACACATTTTTTGAACTGATAATGTTTTCAAGTAGGATTTCTATATTCTTATTTCTTTCAAAGAATATAGATATGTGACTTTTTTTTTATTCACTGCCTTTTTAGAACATAAATTTTGATGCTTCCTGTTTTACAATTCAAAGAAAACTTTTTGCTTCAAAAACTTTATCTTGCCTGTCATTTTATAGAAATAAAATATATCTGGGCTACCATTTTCTAATTGTACACGACTCCAACCCAATGTCAGGGATAGAGAAAATTACAGAAATACCCCTTCAATATGTTTTTTTTTTTTAGAAAAACACAACTCTGAGCCAAGTTGCTTTCTTTTTCTTCTTCTCAGTACTCTCTATTCAATACCGATAGAATAAATGTTTTTATCATCTCTGTGTTTCAATTTGTTATACACTGGCCTTTAGCTGTGAAGTATTTTCTTCCACAAAATGTGGGTTCAAATATTCATTTTATTTGAGGAATTTAGAATTTACAAAATTCCTGGAATTCCAGTTAGACAAAAAACCTGTGAGCATACCTTTAAATGTAAACACAAAACACACACAGAGACATGACCCACAGGTCTTCAGAAAAGCAGAACAAACTTGTTGACCCAAAGATACAAAGAGTTGAAGTGATTATTATCTTTCTAAATCAGAAAATAAATTTCTAGTAACCTGATAATATCACCACCAGTTTCCTAACAGTTGCACTGAGGAATTCTGGCATAGAAGAAACACCAAAGGTGATCTATGACAATTCAATAGTGTGAACAGCTTTAACTGTTCTAAAAAGACATGAATAAATGTGATTTAAATCAAAATGTGTTATGTCATGATAAACAGTTAAGTAGACAGGCTGAGAAAGCTGGTGCTGTTCAGACTGGAGAAGAGAAGGCCTCATGGAGACTTCATAGCAGCCTACCAGTACCTGAAAGAGGCCTATAAGGATGCTGGGGAGGGACTCCTCATTAGGGACTGTAGTGATACGACAGGAGGTAATGGGTTCAAACTTAAACAGGGGAAGTTCAGGTTAGATATAAGGAAGAAGATTTTTACTGTGACAGTGGTGAGGAACTGGAACATGCTCCATCCCTGTCGGTGTTTAAGGCTGGGTTAGACAGAGTTTTGTGTGGCACGGTTTAGTGCGAGATGTCCCTGCCTATGGCAGGGGGGCTGGAACTAGATGATCTTAAGGCCCTTTCCAACCCTAACTATTCTATGATACTATGAATCTATGATTCTAAGTCAGGGTGAGATAATTTAATTAGTGGCAGTTCAGTGAAAAAATATCATTCTGTATGCCTGCTCTGTACTTTGAGTTTAAAATCTAAGATTGGTGTAAACCCTAAAAAAAATATCAAAAGCAAGACAGAATGAAGTACAGTGTGAAGAGAATACAGAGCGATTTTTGAGGAAACAAATGTAGCAGAAAGGCTTTGAATAGAAAATTCACACAGGTGAGTCAGCCTCACCTCTGAGCCTGATCATGGAACAAATCTTCCTGGACATATATCAAAACAGACAGGGAGGTAATTAGAGACAGCCAACACAGCTTCACCAAGGGCAGTTTTTGTCTGACTAATCTAGTGACCTTTTATGATAGAATGACTACCTCAGTGGAAAAGTGAAGAGCTACAGATGTCATCTACCTGGAGTTTTGTAAGGCTTTTGATAAGGTCCTGTACAATATTGTTGCTGCTAAATTGGAGAGATACAGGTTTCATGAATGGACTATTAGATAGATAAGGAACTGGCTGGATGGCCACATGCGAAGAGTTGTAGCCAATGGATCAATGTCCAAGTGGAAACCAGTAATGAATAGTGTCACTCAAGCGTCCACAGTGGGACAATATTATTTAATATCTTCATCAATGACACGACTGTGAGATTGACTGCGCCATCAGCAAGTCTGCTGATGGCACCAATCTGTGTGGTGCATTTGACATGCTGGAGAGAAGGGATGCCATTGGAGGGACCTTGACAGACTTGAGAGGTGGGCTAGTGCAAACCACAGGGAGTTCAACAAGACCAAGTGCAAGGTCCTGCATGTGAGTTGGGGAAATCCCCAGTATCAACACAGACTGTGGGATGAATGGATTGAGAGTAGCTTGTGGAGAAGGACGTAGTGATACTGGTGGATGAAAAATTTGACATGACCTGGCAATGTGTGCTCATAGCCCAGAAAGTCAATTGTATCCTGGACTGCACAAACCATAAGAGGGTAACCTTAGATTGTACATGAGGAAGAAACTCTTTAATATGAGGGCGGTGAGACACTGGAACAGGTTTCCTAGGAAAGTTGTGGATGTCCCCTGGTTAGAAGATTTCAAAGCCAGGTTCGATGGGGCTTCGAAAAACCTGACCTAGTGAAAGTTACTCCTGCGCATAGCAGAGGTGTTGGACTAGATGGTCTTTCAAGGTCCCTTCCAACCCAAGCCATTTTATGATTCTATAACCTCCAAGGAAAAGTAAGCTGCATGTTTTAATGTACAATAAAAAATAAGAATTATTGTAATGGTGGTAAACAAGAGTAAAAAACCAGCCCCATCCCAGGGACTGTAATGCAGTGACACAACGTGACACGACGGAGAAGAGCTTAAGGAAGAGATTTAAGTTTGTGGTGTTTGATTTTACTTCATTTGAATAAGATAGCATTGGTATGCATAGCCATAGTGACAACATATGTGGTGACAACTGCTTAATGAAAAGGGAGACACACAAATAAAGGACATTGTTATATACCTCATTCCACTCATTAGTTCACGTCCACTAAAGTTCTTTGCATCTAGTTTTCCAGAGCTTCTACAGCATCAAACAGCTGCTGCTTAGAAAAGCCAAGTGAAACTGCTACTTTCCCTCATACTCTCTCTCTCTCAAAAGGAAAACACAAAACTCAAAAAACCCAAAACAAATCAACATATTTTAAAAGGCAAATGGGGCAAAAACATTGGAAAGAAAGGTTTCAAGCTTTAGCACTGGATGGGCAATAGCTATACTAGCCAGGTTTGCTTGCATTTTTATCACAGAAATCCAACAGAAGTAAACTAAAAAATGCCCCAAGACCAACCATTTTAATGTTAATTCTAAACTTTAAATTTTGCAAATGCTTGTTATTTTTTTTTTCTTTTTCTCTTCCTCTTAATCATGCAAGTAGATTTGTGGCAAGGACAGTGTTTAGCTTTAAAAGTGTACCTATATACTAATGACAAATAATAGCTGTTATGTTTAGGATTTTTCTCTAATCATATCTAAAATAATTTCTCTCTTATATAGAATTTATGAAAATGCTGAGTAAAAGTTTTCTGTTCCTTTTAAAGATTTCACTAAATAATTATCAGTATTCCAGGTAACATTTATTTTGTAAACCTAACTATGCTTTCTATGAATTTTTGTAAATAACTTTGGTATCCTTTTAACAAAAGATGGAAACAAAAACCTGCTGCATGTTAGCTACCATAAAATGCTCAGAACTGCACAATCAATGGACCAGCACTTCTCTCTGCTGCTCTCTCTCTTTTTCAATTATTCTATCAAAGTAGGACTCCTCTTTGCTCCTTTCTTTCTCAGACAAAAAAAAATTAAAAATTACTTCTTTTAAGCCTTTCTAACCATATTTAATGTTTCAAGAACTCATAGTATTTTGAAAGACCAACAATGGACACAACTGGGAAGATCCTGAAATTTTGAAATTACAGTCCATTTCATTAAACCATAAAAAAACTGTCTGTAGAAGGGAAACACTTCATCCCTCTCAGGCAGTAGTTCTGCACAACTTAAAATACGTTAAATAAATATTTGTATATGTGCATAATATTTATCTGCAATTTACATTGATAACACATATATATGCATATATGAAATATGCAACTGGGAAATTATATTTCAACACTTTTTCTTATTTTAAAATGTGACTGAACTGTATTTTAAAAAAACCTGAACTGATATTGAAATTAAGAAACTTAACATGAAAAGTAAAGATCAAAGAAGTTCTTAGCCACTGAAAATAACTTAACTACACTAGGTATTCAGTGCTGTGCCAAAACCTATCATTTGAGACTTTCAAGACTGATTAGGTTAATTTTATTATAACCAAGTTATGTTCTAAGATTTTAAATTGTTAGCTCTTATGCATGCTACCTACACATACACTGGGCATGAGGATAACTCTTACACAGTGTTTACATTATTAATTACTGCCAATAAAAATACAAAGTTTGCTGGCAATCTCTAAGTAAAAGAGATAAACATCATATACAACCATATATGTTATATATCTTGTATGTTGTACCTTCCTTCCCTTTCTTATATCCTGTATCTGCTAAAGTAGTTTTTACACTCGCATTCATACTCACGCTATTGACTAACTTTCCATTTCTGCTCCCTGGGCATCCTAGCAGTGACTGAATTAAATATGAAGTGAAAAAAAAAAGAAGAAACAAATACTGAATGACCTTGAAAAAAACCCACCTGCATTGCATGAGCTTTGGTGCTCTAGTCTTGAAAATCTGTATTTCTTCACTCTTTTATGTCACATCATAGGAAACGGATTTTGAGTATTGATTATCATACATTATAAGCTGCCCATCTCACCATTAGCCCATAATTTTGACTGCTGCAGGTAGCAGACAGTGAAGAAAATTGAACAGGCATTTTTGTACTAGCAGCGGAAACTATAAACATGAACTATCACCACCAAGTGCCAAATTAGTATATATGAGAAAACAGAATCAATTTAAAGGGAAATACATAAATGTATATATATGTAAAATAGGTCATACACTGTGTTGTACAGTAAGATGTGCTGGTAGAGTGATATGCACCATTGGTCTTTATCTCTACACTTGTATCCCTTCTGTTGAAAATAAACCTTCAACAGTGCAAGTGTATACAATAAACAGAAGCAGCCTAGAGATTTTCCTAACTCTCTGGAGCTTTAAGGCTCAACAGTCCAAAGTGCTTTATGCACTTAAGGGAGAACATACACTAAAATAGAATTGTTAAATTATCAGCTGTAGAAAGAAAAGGAAACAAGCTATCTGGAAACAAGTCACCTAGATAGGAAATGTATAGTGGATTGAAATTTAAGGTGGTGTAGGATGACAGTTATGCTGGCAACATAAAATGCAGCACAGGGTATGTATTTTGGTGCATCAAAAGACATTTCTTACATATTTTTTCTATATTAGCAGAGCAGCTATATTTAACTTCTGCCTTCTCTAGCAAGCTTAAAGCAAAATATACTTTTATTGTCCTATTAATTCATAAATATTGTGAATGGAATTCAATATGGGTAATGATTTCACTCTAAATATATTGTACTAGGAAGTTAATTAATTAATGCTTTAGCTAGCTCGCTCCTTTCAGTGGCTAAAACTGAGATATCTTAGTTCAACTCACTAATTATATAAAATTTGCATAATTATAACAAAGAAGAAACTCAAGACATTTTTTTTTCTTAATAGTGATTCAAAGCATAACAAACAATTAATAAATACTTTTTTTTTAATTTAGCTGGACTCTAATGATCTAAATCACACATACACACACAAAGCAGATAAGCAAATGAGAAGTAAACATTCCATGTACAGAGAACATCAGCATACAAACATTTTCATTAAATATTTCATATAGCGTGCTTATAAGATGAAGAACTTTACACTCTATATCAAACTATTCTGTATAATGTAATAGTAAATGTTCAGTCTTGTGTATAGGGGAAATAAGACATTCAATATATGTAAGTGTGCATATTTACCTTTTTCTATATGTATATATGTATATAAATATATGTATATGCATATATATTTAAAATCTGATTTCCCTTATATGCAAGACTGAGCACATACCTTGATATAGACCTAGATATACACATTTACAATCATATTCCTCCCCAAATCTGTAAATGATGTTATCAAATTGTATTTGAATTTAAACAAGAGAAACAGAGTTCAGATCATTATAATTTATAAGATTTGACTTGGTAAACGGTCATTCAAGTGCATTCTTTTCCACAAACTTTGTATTCACAAAATATTAAAAAAAAAGTAGCTTTGTATTACCATATGTCCACCAATGAACACTAAATAAGAATATGGTGAGGTAAGTATATTAATAACTTTCACTTTTAAACTGTCAGTAGCTTTTGTTATTTTTTTTGTTGTTCTAGGAAATGCTAGCCTGTCTTTCAGGTATCTTGTTTATTTAACTCTTTGGTTTTTTTCATTCTTTCAATGCATATGTTCTACTATCATATAAATACCCCCTTCAGTTTGCCCATTTCCCTTCTTCTTTCTATAAATATGGAAGCTAAAAAATAAACACAAATTGTCAGAAGCGGCTCGTTGGCTGACACATCTGACTGGAATGGCTATCAACTAACAGCTACAAATAAAAAACACGCTGGAGGACCCATTCCAAAATGCATGTCTTCTTTTCTTTGAAGCATGTTATTTCACGTTGCTGATACGGTCTATAGTAACTCTTGAAATGCTCTGCTATTCATTGCATGACAGAGTGAACAGTAATGCATGTGTTTGCTGACCCTAGTTTCACATCACAAAGAAAATGATTTGTCTTTAAATGCATGCATGGAGTTCACACTGCTTCCCTAGGAGATTTATTCATTCCAACTTTGATGTTGTGCATTTGTCTTCATTATTGAAAATATTTCCATTTAGGTTATACTCAGTAATAAAACAACGTGTAAAATCCTCTGTAGCTTATATTTCTCTAGTCCAACCACAAACACTATTTAAAAAAAAAAATAAACTAATCAGTACTTGCTTTAGACTAATAAAGTATGCTTTGCATATTTTAATTCCTTGAATAGACACAAAAGAGCTGTATTTTCTGCACATAAGTGTAAATAGATGTACAATAAATTGCATCTAATCTCTAATAGAGAATATAAATCTGGCTTTCAGAACTTCAGTAACTCCTGTGATAGACCAGAAAACCACCCAGAATTGATATGAAACGGTGTCTTACTTTTTCACTTGAGATAGGCAATCATCTTTGTTAAAGAACTGAAAAGACTATGAGGAGATATTTATTACAGGAGAAAAATAATAGGCTGCTTTGCAATGTCCTAAACACTGGGGCTATATATGACACTTCTGATGAGAACAATCAGCTAAAGTACTACTGCTGTGGTTGTATTCCTGTTTAATTACAATTGATTTTGACATAAATGAGCAGAGGTAAACAAATACTTCTATACACATGCTTGCTGTTATTAAACAGAGCTGTCTCCAATCTGAGTATTTATATTGGCTTGTCTGTTTAAAGGCTCCTTTCAGTTAGGCAAAACAATTATGTAGCTCAGATTAGCAAAATGACTGGCAGTAAAATGAGAATGGACTGCCACTTTTTTAAACCTCTTGCATCTCGTGGTCTTTTCCTGATATTGTAACTACAAGATTCTGAGGTCTATAATACTTACATAGTTCCTTCATTGTTGGTTGTTTTTTGCTTGTTTACTTGTTTTTTGGACACAGGATAAAGAGAATATATTTTTATATTGGTAAGACATAAAATGCTTAAAAAGCAATAAAAAAAAGATGGTGGGCCTATGGATTTAATTAGTTCACATTTGTCCCAAACCGTAAATATTGGACAAATATTTCAGAATTACATGGAGCACTACAGAACACGTAATATTTTTCTTACACAAGTACATTTTAAACTCATACTTGAAATTTAATGGCAATCACGCAATTTTTTTTTTTTTAATTTAAACACAGTATAAAAGCAAGAAAACATTTATTTTACCTGAAAATTTTCCATCCTCACAGCGGGCTGGTCCACAGATCCCAACAATGGGTCTTTGGCCTCTGCCTTGCTGTTCTGGAGGCAAATCAGACCTGTGAGTCACAGACAGGAATAGGCTCTGCTTCCAAATTTTGCAACTATTTCAGAACTTCCACAGCAGAAAAACAATTTCTATCTATCTGTGGCCCAGGCATAGCTCACAGTCCTTAAAGATTTTCACTGTGCTTCTCAAAGCTACAAACATAGAATTTTATAGCTGGCAGTAAACTGAGGATGTCTGACTAGTAAAAAGAGTGTCTCATTTCTTCCTATCAAAGAGGAGAGGCACATCCGGTTTTGGTTTCCAACATTTGCTTGTAAGTCAGACTGTCACCTATTCTAATTTGCAGTAAAAAGACCATATGACAGTCGTGAAAAGATATTTTGGGCTCTCCCTCATCCCACCATGTAAAATTCTCTGCAGCCTCAGGCTGCAGAGAGGAAATGTACAAGGGCTAGCTGTGCCACTCCTGCACTTAGCTGGGAAGCTACAGGGAAACTTTACTAATATGTCAAATTCAAAGTTTTAATCAGTAAATCTTTCTTGTAGAGCCCGAAAGCTGTTTCCTGGAAAAGAAGAGAAATAAACCTGCAGTAATTAACAGAAGAGAACAAGCTTGTGGATATGTTAGAAAGAACATTTTTATTATAACATATTTTCCCACTCTTGATCAAGGCAGCTCCATGGATTTAACAGCAGGATTTTTTTCAGCACTGCCGCCTACAGTTGCAGTGATTCTTAAATCTGAAACCTAACTTAATTTGTGTGATCATTTACAACATCTGCATGATGTTCACACTATTTTTGCTAACTTTATTGGGAAATAGTCATAATCGTAATATCAAATTTATTAATTTCCATACCTAAATTGAAATATTTAGTAAATACTAATACTGTGTATTGTATTGTGCCAATTTTTAGGAATCTAGCTATTAACTACGTCCACCATGAGGCATCCTATGTAAATAACAATAGATTGTACAGTTAGAGATAAGAGGTAACAGTGATTATGACTAGCAAAAATAATGAATGGGAAGGAAAGACAGCATTAATGAATCTATAATCATGCTGTTGACATTTCCTGAAGATGTCAGTATAAAAGCTCCATAATTTAAAGAAGCTATCCCCATCTGTCACACCGTCAAGCCACCAATGATTATCTGCATATTACACCACTGAGCATTCCTCACCAGGTGCCAATTATCTCCGTAGACATATCTTCACTTAGAAGGCACCAAGCTTTTTGCTTTGTAAGCTTCTCTCATATTTGGATAGGACAACTTGTTTGCAGACATTGACTGATGAGGGTGCCACTGAAGAGAGAGACATGACAGGCTTCTGAAGAAATCTGTTTCTACATCCTTTGATGGTTCTGTTTATATCATGACTATAGGTAGACTGTCTCCAGTGGAAGTCTGTCAGGTTCTGTGTAGGAGCATGATTTTGTCCAAAACAGAATTAATGCAGTGAAGCTTTTTAAATGATATGTTTTCCTTTACAAAGTCTCACAAAAAATGACTAAAGGCTGTATGGGTGCTGAACCATTCAAAATCTGACAAGTTCAGTGAAAGAGAGTAGTTTTCTCCACACTCCTGCCAGTATGCCTGAATTTACATTCAAAATCTCCTTTACCAGACATAATGAGACAATGTCTGTTTTATACTGATATATGGAAAAGCCCACTCGGTATCATTCTCTGCTTCAAAAAGTTGATGTCATATATGGGTTATATACTTTGGACTTCATGGGAGGTACAATGCATACAATGCAAGGAAGAACACTTTTGTGATGCTGCTCTCAGAAAAAAAAAACTGAAGTTCTCCAGGCAAATATACCAGATTCTTGGTATTTTTCCACTGAGCTATATTCTTGCAAAAGTAAACCAATTTTACTTACCCCTTAATATTATACTACTGTGTTTATATCAAGCTACTGCTTTTTTACAGAATTAAAATTTGTGTCAAAGTGCTCCATTTTGAATGCCTGAAGGAACACACTGCTTCCTAAGGAATTCTCACTTGGACATACAGATACAGAAAAGAAGTAAGTTATTTATCCTGGGAAAAAAGAAATTATCACAGAGCTTCAAAGATTCTCCCCTATGCTAAGTAACATATTCATTATTGTTTGATTAGATTGTGCCCTAGACTATTATTTAGTAGGTTGCTGATGTTGTATTACCACCTTCAAAAGGGATCTGCAGAATGGGATTGCCATTATGCCAATTTATTCCCTTAGGAATTTGATCTTCATAATGCTATTCTACTTAGCTTTCTGACTAGACCGCACTCCAATTAGATCAATCAGAAAGAATAATTAAGGGTGCTTTTTTCAAATCTCTCTAAATATTACTAATTTTGCCGAAGGAACTGTACATGTAAATAGATTTAGTATCATATTTTCAGGTTTTCATGAACTGTAAATGAATTTCTGAGAGACACTGAAGATGCCTGGAGTATTCACATCTTCTTTTCCCCAAATTCATCAAGAGCCTTAAGCTCCAGATCACTTTCTTACATTTCAAGGATTGAGGAGATTATAGATAGTAACAACATTAATACAGAAAATCTCTTCTGATAGTTACTTTTATTTGTAGCAGCTGAGCTGCTCAACTGAGAGTCACTTCTTTACTTGTCATCTTTGCATTTGTTATGGTTTTAACTTTTGTGTTGATGTCAGAGTACTATGATTTGACAAAACATATGCTGAAGAATTTGTGAACTATTTACAAAGATGTCATTGTGTTTTCATTAGTTTCACTAATATCTTCACTTTCTAAGCTTGCTATCTTAGACACTGTTTTCTTGTCTTGAGCAACCCCTCATCTAGGCCATGTTCTTATAAAAAGCCTATTTCAGTCCTGGAGGTAGACTTGAAGACTAGTTACAAATTTCACCACAAAGTAAGATGCAGACAGGGTAATTTCTGTTAGTTGTGCCTTTAGTTTACTTATCCAAACATTAGATAAACTAAGCAAGTAAAAGATGCTACCTCTAAAACTGCTGAAGGTTTTAGAGATAGCATCTGTCCCAGGACAGAAGGATTTAGAAATATGTCAGTCAATGTCAATCTATTAACTTTCTTTAAAAAAATCTTTAAAGTACTACAACCCTAGAAATAGGGCAGTCATACTATAAAATGAAGTAAAACTTATTCTAGACATGGATCATGCTCAGTTTTTTTGGGGGATATTTAAAGACCTTTTAATTACTGGAACTTATTACTATATTTACTTGATTTAGAATTTTGTTACTTGATTTTAATATGTCCTTCTCCTCTCAGCCCTTTTGTTCAATTGCAAAAAAAGGCAAGAGACTTGTCCATTTATTACTGGCCTGAATTCTTAGTATCACAGATAATGAGAAGCAGAGAAAACTGACGCTTCCTCCCCAGAATATCTACCACATGGTTTTTGCAAAACAGCTTCTAGGTTTCCTAATAAAAATGTAACTTTGACTTGTTTTTGTTTAGGAAAAAGAGTTGAGTAATTCCCAAGGAGATAAAAGTCATATGTGAAGCACCATATCCAAAAGCAAAGCTCAGTGTGGCCTTGAACAAATTCTGTAAAGAGTCAAAGGTAAGAAAAAATCATCTTATGGGGAAAAAAAAGTCGAACGTTTGTTTTTTGTTTTTTTTTTTAAGTCCATCTGTTACAGCACACACATGATACGTATCCCATTTCCTGGGTATCTAAGAAACAGTCTAGCAGAGCTCTAAATTTATTTGTAAACTCTCAAGTGACTCTCTGCATTTCCAGCTAAAGATGGATACAGGACAGTTAATTTGCTACCACCAAGGGAAAACGTTATAACATAAAAACATTCCCTCCCTTAGCTTCAAAACTGTTGAGTGCCTAGGGAGCTCATCTATTTGCGGAGTTGATACTATGCATATGCTTCCTCTCTAACTGCTACATACATACATCTGACATCTGCCTCTGTGTTAAACAGACTTAATTGTCCCTAGTATTACTATGAAAAAAAACCTCTAACCTAGATTGTTAATGCAATAGAAATAAATGAAAGGATATATGTGATTTTTGTAGATCTATTTTTGCATTATTGGCAAAATATGCAAGCTCTGTACTACAGCTATCAGCAAAATCTTTTAACTCTGCCTTCTGAATAACTTTAAATAGAGCTTTTTTTTTTTTTTCTTAGCATCACATTCAGCACCTTGTGCAGCCTTTTAATGAAAGTGGTCATTTTACCTAGAATTTCTTTTTCCATTTATTCTCCTTTTTCCACTTTCTTGATCATTGATCCTCCTTCTTTATCCACATCAGACTTCAGAGCATTTAATCATTTGCCAGACATAGCTGGGATGATTCTGAAGATACATAATTTCTTTTTTTTTTTTTAAGTGATATTAAGGGGACTTTACATGTTAGTACATTGTTCAGCTCAGTGTTGCCAGGAAAGTCAAGATTCAGGCAAAGCACTTGATTTCAGATTTCAGTATGTTTTTAAAAGATCAAAGAGCATGGCAAATCTTGTTCTTTGGTTTGGCAGACCATGCAGAACAACAATACTCTAAAAGATTGAGGTAGCTCCATAGAACTAATATTAGAATGAAGGTTCTTTGAAGTTGTTTTAACCTTTATGTCAATTTTCATCTTAAAACCACCAGCAAAGTAAAAAAAAAAATGAAAAAAATTCTTCTAATCGGGAAAACACACAGAAATGAGTTCTTCCTGTAAAGTAAGGTAAAAAAAGAGCTGGCGATTTGATGTCTGACATCATTCATGATAGCAAAAAATGAAATATTCTCAAGGTGTTTCTTTTACTAAGATTTACTTCTTTGAGCAAGAATATGAAGCATAGTCTTTCGTAAGGCAACTGTACCTTTGAGATTCAGGGAAAGGGTATTGTTACAGCTGAAGTCTTCTGAAAAGACTGACTTCCGCTTTACCACGTGAACTAGGTCCTAGCTAGCAGGAAGACAGGCGACAGTTTTTTCACCCCTCCTGTTTAAGCTTCATTATCAAGCAACAGGTATGCAATCCAGAGAGAGCTTCCATCTAATCTGCTATTTA